GATAGAAAGCAAGAAATCATCCCCCGGGAGGATGGCCATGCTGCAATCCCTTCTCCATTCTCCTCTTGGGATCTTGGGCAGGCACACACACATGTGCACCCTGTGTGAGTTTAAGCCATTGGGTCCGGGACTTGAACCGTGGTTGACTACATGGGAGTCCAGTGACATAGCCATTATACCAACATTATACCAACTGCTGGTCCCCCCATTTGTGACTTTTGCCAGTAAAACCATCCTAAAGTCAGTGACACTTTGGCACACATTATGTAGGGCAACTCGGATTTCATGGTGTCCAGGCAAATTGCCTGGTAAAAACCTTTTGCTTTACTTATGTTCCTTCAACTGTACTGTTTTTTTTTTTCCCAGGTTGATATTTCTCAAGTAAAAATCATGCATTTGGGCCTGGATGGTGGCACATGAGTAAAACACGGTGCTCTGCAAGGCATCATGAGAAAGGGGTAAGGAGAACACAGAAAACTCTTGATAGAAAAAGAGTGTGTTAATTAGAGAAACAGGTCAATACAATGATGCTAAAATTTTGATCCATCTCTTAATTATTTTGAGTTTGCTGCAATTAGGAATATTTAGGAAATACTCTAGGTCAACTGAATCAGAGCCCACAAGAGTCTATGTTTAATACCTTCCAACAGGCCTTTGCCCTGTTGGGATCCAGAGATGAGCCCAAGAAGTTACTCCAAAAAGGCACATGGGAAAGTTCTGAGTTCATGTCTGGAGACCTCCCTGAGTATGCTGGCTGTGTGTATTTCTATGATCTGGGGCAGGCTGAGGCTGATGGTAGCTATAGCATTTTGAGAGTATTGTCTCTCTGTCTGACTTTTTCTCTGTCTCTGTCTCTCTCTCTCTCTCTCTATATATATATATCTATATCTTACCCATGGGGAAAATAAATAATATATCTATATCTTACCCATGGGGAAAATAAATAAACTTTAAGAAAAAACACAAATCCAATCGATATACAAAGAAGGAATAATAAATATTTGGAGACAACTAGCATTTTGGCAAATAGGCCTTTGGCCTGGTGGAGGATGTTAAACATATAGACTCTTGTGGATTCTGATTCAGTTGCTCTAGAGTTTCCTAAATATATCTAATTGCAGCAAACTCCCAAAGTAATTAAGAGACATCAAAATTACAACATCATTGTATTGACCTGTTTCTCTAATTAACTCACTCTTTTTCTATCAAGAGTTTTCATTTCTCTGTGTTCTCTGTACTCCTTTTTGACTCAATTACATGACAGAATTTAGAACTTTCTACACTTTTTACTTCTTTATGTGAACTATACTAATTTTCTCTCATTTCTTTTTTTCTAGAGATTTTTGCTTAGGGTGCATGCTCTCCAGAAAGACAGAAAGAGACAGAGAGCTAGAAAGTGAGAAATTACCCCCTGGGGGGATGGCCACACCTCAATCCCTTCTCCTCCATTCCCCTCTTGGGATCTTGGACATGCACGCACATGCGCCTGGTGTGAGTTTAAGCCATCAGGTCCAGGACTCAAACCACAGTCAACTACATGGGAGTCCAGTGACATAGCCATTATGCCAACTGCTGGCCTCCATTTTCCCTCATTTCTACTACAGATATTTTATTTCTCTTATAACACAAAACCAGGAATTAAAATATGTTTTTTATCTTTCAGACTTGGGATCCAGAGATGAGCCCAAGAAGTTATCTCCAAAAAGGGACACTTATGAAACAGAGTCATCCCAATGGGTTATCATGAAACAATTTAAGAGCCATAGTCCTGAGAGATCTATTTTCAGAGATATTTGGGAATGCAAATGTCATTTTGGGCAACAACAGGGAAAACAGAAGAGCTATTTTAGGCAGTTTATGATCAGTCATGAAAACATACCCATTTTTAGTCAACATACTTTACTCACTCAAGAATTTTATAATAGAGAGAAAATCTCTGGTTATAAAAAGGGTAGAGAAAACTTTAACTGTCACTTATTCTTTAATGACTACAAAAGAAGTCATTGTAAAGAAGAATGTAAGGAATGCACAGAATTTAATACATCATTTCTTATTAAACAACAAAGAATTAAAAATGGCGATAAATGCATGGAATATTGGAAGGCCTTTATTCATTGTCCGCAACTTAATCAACATCTGAGGAGCCATACTGGTGAAAAACGCTATGAATGTAAAGAATGTGGGAAGGCCTTCAATTATGGCTCAGAACTTACTCTACATCAAAGAATTCACACTGGTGAGAAACCCTATGAATGTAAAGAATGTGGCAAAGCCTTTAGACAGCGGTCACAACTTACTCAACATCAGAGGCTTCATACTGGTGAAAAGCCTTACGAGTGTAAGCAATGTGGGAAAGCGTTTATTCGTGGCTTTCAACTTACTGAACATCTGCGGCTTCACACAGGTGAGAAACCCTATGACTGTAAGGAATGTGGAAAGACTTTTAGGCATCGCTCACACCTCACCATACATCAGAGAATTCATACTGGTGAGAAACCCTATGAATGTAGGGAATGTGGAAAGGCCTTTAGCTATCACTCAAGCTTCTCTCACCATCAGAAAATTCATTCTGGCAAGAAACCTTATGAATGTAGTGAATGTGGAAAGGCGTTTTGTGATGGCTTACAACTTACCCTACACCGTAGGATTCATACTGGTGAGAAACCTTATGAATGTAAGGAATGTGGGAAGACTTTTCGGCAGTGTTCACACCTTAAAAGACATCAGAGAATTCATACTGGTGAGAAACCTCATGAATGTATGATATGTGGAAAGGTCTTTAGACTTCATTCACACCTTACTCAACATCAGAGAATTCATACTGGTGAGAAACCCTATGAATGTAAGGAATGTGGGAAAGCCTTTAGCTATCATTCAAGCTTTTCACATCATCAGAGAATTCATTCTGGAAATAAACCTTATGAATGTGGGAAGGACTTTACTCATGACTTACAATTTAATCTACATCAGACACTTCATTCTGGTGAGAAACCAGTAAGGTTTCCTTTCTTCTCTTCCCATCCTAGTCTAGCATTATAAATTTTTTTTAGTGATAATACATTTTCTTTGTGTGTTTTTTTTTTAAAGGAAGAAGTTGATAAAACATTTACTTCATTAGTATTGATTTATTTCAGAGATCTTTGAAACATTTAAGTTGAAAAAATGGAAAAGTAATTAAAATTTTCTTTCACTGTTTCTGAATTTTTATTGTGTTAACTATTGGAAATAGAGAACAGTGGGTGGAATGGTGGTTAAGGCGCTGGACGCTCCCACATGGCTGACCACGGTTCAGGTCCTAGACCTTGTGGCTTGCTTTCTCACCTTCTCTCTCTCTCTCTGCCTGTGTGTGTGTGCGTTTGGTCAAATAAAACAAAATTAATGAGTTGAATAAATAAAGTTAAATAAATAATTTTAAAAACTATTGGAAATAAATGTTCATAAATTATGAATTTTCACTGAAACGAGTGAAGTATGGCAGGTTAAGATGAAAGAAATGTTTCCCTCCCACAAATCCTTGAGATAACCAGTATGTGTGTGCTACTCTTTTCTTTGTGCTCAACCTGAAGTTAATAGGTTTGTTGTATATGTGTGGATTACCTACTGAACAATGACATACTTAACAAATTTGTTAGCTCTTTTCACTTAATAAATATTGATAGACATTTTTCCAGATAAGAATATTTTATCTGACTTTTTTTTTTTTTTAAGATTTTTCTCTAGGCTCAGAATATTAGATCGGACTTTTTTTTTTTTTTTAAGATTTTTCTCTAGGCCATGTGCACTTGCTGGAGAGAGACAGAGAAAGTGGGAAAATTAAAAAAAAATCACACACCAGGAAGGATGGCCATCACACAGTCCCTTCTTGCAGGACGTTGAGCATGTACGCACATACACACCAAAAAAAACACAGCGCATTACTCATACTGCCAGGTCTGAGGATCAAACCATGGAGTTGGTCATGTGAAATCCAACACCTTAATGACCTTGCCACCTGCTCACTTTTTTTTTTTTTTTGCATACGCTCAAAGGAGAGAAACCCTACCTCAGGGGGAATGGCCATACCACAATACCTTCTCTTCCATTATCCTCTTGGGATTTTGGGTGCACATGCACACACCCAGCATGATTTTTCAAGCTGCCGGGTCTGGGATTTGAGCCACACAGTCTGTCATGTGACATCCAGCTGTCTTTTTTTAAAAAAATTATTTATTTATTTATTCATTCTTTCTTTTCTTTCTTCTTCTTCTTCTTCTCTCTCTCTCTCTCTCTTTCTTTCTTTTTTATGACCAGAGAGAGACAGAGGGTGAGAGAGAGAGGAAGTGAAAAAGGAAGCCACCAGATTCAGGACTCGAACCCCAGTTGGCCATGTGGGAGTGTCCAGCGCCTTAACCACCATGCCACCCCCTGGTCCTGGCATCTAGCTGTCTTAACCTCCATGCTACCCACTGGCCCTCAGCTCATTTTGTTTTTTTAAGAGGTTTTTCACTATAGGGCACACACACTCGCCAGAAAAAGACAGACAAAGCTAGAAAGCGAGAAATCACCCCCCAGGGGGGATGGGCACGCACGCACATGGCATGAATTTAAACCACCATGTCCGGGACTCGAACTGTGGTCAACTACATGGGAGTCCAGCGACAGCCATTATGCTAACTGCTGGTCCCTTCAACTTTTTTTTAAAGCTTCAGAATATTTCTAGTATGGGATGTATGCAGGGACTTCAGAAAGTTCACGGAAAAATTAAGAGAGTTTGGTGCAAAAAAATACTGAAATCTATACATAGTTTCTTAATACACATTTCCGTGAACTTATTGAAAATCCTGGCTGTGTCATCATTTTCAACCATTCCCTACTGTAGACATTCAGGTTGTTTCTACCTTTTCATCCCACACTATAGTGAAATTTCTTATTGGCTTATTTTTGTTTGTTTCTATTAAGTAGATTCTCAGCAGTAGGATTTAAGAGAATCTGGAGTGTGTGTGTGTATAGTACATCAATCTTTTGAAGCTGACAAAATTGTACTTATGCAGTACAGTGTGAATTGTCAGGAAATTAATACAATGTGCAACAGTCAACTGAGTAACATATTGGTAATTTTTGTTAAATGGTAATGTGTGTGTGCACATGTGTGGGAGAAACAGAGTCCTTTGACAAGGACTAGTTACGCCACAAACTCCTCTCTCCAGCCTTCCAGCTCCTCAGGATCTTGGGGGCACTGGCATGTTTTCAGGCCAACCTGAGGGATCCAAATCTGCCGCTTCTATCCTGGAAGACCAGTGTTATTGCTGTGCCACAGCAGCTGGGCTGTTTAGCATTACTTCATGTTAGGAAGACCTCAAAATTTCTCTTTTAGCTATATAAAAATAAATTATTGTTAACTATAGTCACCCTATTGTGCTATAGAACAGTAGAACTTATTCCCAAACATTGATCTTTTAAAAATTATTTTAGGGTTATCTGCAGTGGTGCATTAGTAGCATAGTGCTCTGTAGTGCTGGAGGCCATATGGAAAATTGGGGTTTGGTTCACAGTATACCCACATATGCTTATGATCCCAGTTGTAGGGAATGGGGAAGGCAGTTGAAGTGCTTGTCTTTCTGTCTCATGAAAGAAACAATCTTTTAAAAAAGTTTTATAGTTTTTTGTAATAAACTTTTTTTTATATATTAACAAAATATAAAAAGTAAAGTAAAAATTTAAATCTCCCTTAATATCCAGTCCTGTAGTCATTTACTTTCTTTCCACAGGTGAAACCACTGCAGTCAGTTTCATCTGTGCTCTTCCAGTAATATTTTAGATAAATTTCTGAGTTTTTGTAATAAACTTTTTTTATATATTAACAAAATGTAAAAAGTAAAGTAAAAATTTAAATCTCCCTTAATACCCAATCCTGTAGTCATTTACTTTCTTTCCACAGGTGAAACCACTGCAGTCAGTTTCATCTGTGCTCTTCCAGTAATATTTTAGATAAATTTCTTTGGACAAAAAGTATATTAATCATAATCATTGATTTATGACACAATCTCAGCATTGGTCCACATTTAGCCTACTTTTCAAAAATAATTTCTAAAGAATTATTTATTATTACTATTATTATTTCTAAAATTTGCTATAGGGCACATGTACTCACCAGAGAGAGAGAGAGAGAGAGAGATAGGAGAAAGCAAGCCAGCAGGTCCGGGACTTGAACCACAGTTCACCATGTAAGAGTTCAGTGCCTTAAACACCATATCACCTGCTGGCCCCCACATTTGGCCTACTTTATTTTTAATATATTCCAGAAATTAAAAAATGTTGTGCCAACTATCAATATACTGCCTTTCAGCTCCAAATCCTTCATTGCCTACTCTGTAGTATCAGATCTGGGCTCTGTATATAGATGTTCCTCCTTTGCTAGCTGGCAGGTTACTAAATCTTTGTCAGTAGAGTGTTGGATACTAGAGGAGAGGGTCTTTTCCTTACTAGTTTTGTTTCACTCTTGACAGGCTCCTGTAGTGTGTGCAGCTTCATCAGCATCAGGCTCCTATTAGTGTGAAACATCTATCAGCATCAGTTTCTAGCACCCTGGGTAGCTTTCTAACACATGTGGGTGGCTTCACAGCAAGTCAAGGTGGAAATCTCTCTGAAGAGTCTCCCATCTACCCAGAGAATTGATTTCAGGCAAGTCCTAGTTCTCTGCTATTCAGTGAGTCATGGCTATGTCCTTTCCAAGGAGGACATAGGATCTCAACTCTGTGGGAGAGGAAGCTATTTTGAGTTCTGTATCTCAGTTCCTATGTTCTCTCACCAGGGTTAATCATTGCTCTCCCAGTTGTTTTTGTATTCCAAGGATATTCCAGGTGAAAATTTAAAGCCCTTTGGACAAAAAAGCAGCCACTAACCTTATTGACACTGTATTACAGCATGGATTTATTTATACTTAAGACTTAACTTTTACTTCCTGAATCAAGAGTTCAAATCTTTCATTTGTTCTAAAAAAATTATCAGCTGTTACCATTTGAAATATTCCTCGGGGCTAGCAGGTGGCATGCTGGTTAAGGCGCTGGAGTCACATGTGGCCAACCACAGTTTGAGTCTAGACTTGGCAGCTTGAAAATCACGCTGAACTGATGTGTGTGTGCCCAAAATCCCAAAAGGAAAATGGAGGAGAAGAGATTGCAGCATGGCTATCCTCCCAGGGGTGTGATTTCTCACTTGCTGTCTCTCTGTCTCTGGGAAGCCCTATGGAAAAAAAACTTAAAAAAAAATTCCTTGCTTTCATTCTCTGCTTGTTTCTCCCACCTCTCTCTTCTTGATTATATGTTAATCTTTCATTAGTATCCTCTCAGAAAGTCTTTTGGTTTATTTGTGAAACTGCCAGGAAAAGACCTCCTTGTGTGTACAATTTTTTTTTTTTGGAGAGGTTTTGGCTATAGGGCACGTGTGCTCGCCCTGAAAGACAGACAGAGACAGAGATAGAAAGCAAGAAATCACCCTCCCCCCTCCCAGCAGGGATGGCCATGCCGCGATCCCTTCTCCATTTTCCTCTTGGGATCTTGGGCACACATGCACACGTGCCTGGCGTGAGTTTAAGCCACCGGGTCTGGGACTCGAACCGTGGTCAGCTACATGGGAGTTCAGTGATGTAGCCACGCTAATTGCTGGTCCCCTTAGGTGTACATTTTATAAGTTCATATAGTTTGTATTGTGCTATACAAAACAAAGTTTGTTTCAGTCAGTTTTTGAGATTTAGTCATTTATTAATTGATAGATTAAGGAGGGACTAGGGTTGGGAAGGTGTGGGTGTGGTTGTAAAAGGACAATATGAAGAATCCTTGCAATGGAAATGTTCTGTTTTGTATCTTGATTCTTGTAATGTCTACCTTTTGTGTGTATGGTGTGTATGTGTGTGCGTGCGTGCAATAGTTTAGACAAAGTCTTGCTGTATCACAGTCCTCCAGCCTCCCAAGTAGCTGAAACCACAGGTGCATGTCACTGCACCCCACTTTTTTAGTGGTGGGCTAGGAATCCAACCCAGGCCTCCCATGTGGCCTTACCTTGACAAGCAG